CCTTTATCCTATTGCACCCTACACCCTCAAAAATCAAAACGAACAAAAACAAATACATCATACACATGCACACTACACTCACACACACATGCACGGGCACGCACACACACACACACACACACACACACACACACACACACACACTCACACACACACACACACAGAATAAAAGGAAAAACAACACTGAGCAAATAGTTCCACAGGTGATCAAAGGTCTCTATTTTAGGACTATCTTATCTCTAGAACTGTTAAGTTTAAGGTTAGGAGAAAGCAACATGCAATTAATAAGTCTATTAAAAAGTCACTGAGAACATTGCTAAATGCTGAATATATCATGTTATCAGATTACTTATGTCCCTGTCCTTTTTGAAGCTGAAAATCTGCTTCACGGCTGAACATAACAACACTCACAAAATTAAAAAGCACACAAGAAGTAAAATCTGAAGACCTACCGCACAGCAACTCAACTTTTGACCACAGAGTAGACGCAACAATAAGAACAAAAATGCTCTTTAACATAAACAAGACGCACATCCAACATAGGGGCATTTCCTATGCGGTTGAGGGCACTCTCCAGAGGAATCAGAAGTCACCAGGATATGATCAATACTGACTAAGGGAACAAGAATTAATGAATGTACTGAGACAATCGTCAGCTTACACGAAATTCTGTGAAATGCCTATCTAAAGACCAGGTTTGCCATGGGAGGCCTACCCCTTTCTGATCCATTACAGAGAAGGGGTGGGTTGAGGGGAATGGCGGGTAGAGGCTGACGACAGGATGCAAAATTAATTAATAATCGAGGCCAGCCTGGTCTACAGAGTGAGATCCAGGAAAGGTGCAAAGCTACACAGAGAAACCCTGTCTCGAAAAACCAAAAAAAAAAAAAAAAATTAATTAATTAACTAATTAATTTAAAAAAAAACCTCAGTTCTTCAAACACAGCATTAAAAAAATGAAAAGGCAACCACAAATTGAAACACATTTCCAAAGCTTGAATTTCCTGAGATACATTAAAAAAAAAAAAAAGGTTTGCCTGAATGTCAGCATCTCCACCTTAATCTGATAATCAAAACCTTAAATCACAGAAGATGGTAATCTTTACAAGAACTGACGGCTTACCTGTACCAGATGTACTGACGCAAAAATAACAGATGATCTGTAATAAAAAGAAACAGTGGTCCTTTAGCAATCATTTACAAACTATTTGCAAAATGAGACCAATCTACTATACACTATAATTTTTATAAGATCATATACTTGTTTATATTAAAGTCCAAGTTTATGTTATTCAAGACATTGAAATAGTTCCCAACTACAAATTTTAAAAATGGTTTGAGATGCTAAATTTAATCTAAGAAGCCTTAATCAAATCATTACTAGGAATCATAGTAGATTGCGCTTTAAAACAAACCTATTTGTATAAAATATAAAGCATAAATCAAGGTATTAACTTTAACTTTGTAACAACTATATAAGTAACACCTGGAGAAGTCTGTGAAAAGCAAAATTTCAAACACAGATTTAAGACTGTTTTATATCATCATACGCACACGCACGCGCGCGCACACACACACACACACACACACACACACACATCCTGTGCACACAGCTAGGTATAGAGCAAGGAAGAAATATCTGAAGAAGATCATCTCTAGGTTGTACGAAAATTTTATTATGATATATAATTACTTATACAATCAAATTTTTCTACAATTATTTTAATCAATTACACATGTTTTCTAAATAAATCAAAACTTCATTTGTGATAATGAAAACTGAATATACCAGAACGTATATAAAATCATAGTCAATCACAAGTTTTCAATTTTTTTTTAATTGAATTTTCTCTTCATAAATCCAACATAAGGATGGCTTTAGAGGCCAGAGAGACAGGTAGTCACAGTACCAAAGACCAAGGTGAACAAGTCTCCACATCTAAAAACATTAAAGATAAGGAGATGGAAAGATGCCTCAGTGGTTCAATTCCCAACAGACGCATGGTGGCCCACAACCACCTGTAACTTCAGCTCCAGGGGATCCTACATCTCTTCAGACCTCCAAAGGTTCCTACATGCACATGGTACACATACATACACACAGGGACACACACACATACATACATACATACATACATACATACATACATACATACACACACACATACACATAATATGGAATAAATAAATATAAAACAGCACTTACCTTGTCAGTCTAGTGGAAGAATTACATTAATCTATTAATTAATAAAGTCCTCATAGCTCAAAAAGGCTGGAGCTCAATTCTTTTTCAGACCCTTGCTGGTTTATATGTCAAGTCTATTACTGGTTAAATGAATGCTCAGTTTAACCAAATTTGTAATTCGAGCATTTTGGACATTCTATCTGAATGTTCGTGTAGACCATTTGCAATGGTCTCTCACTTACACTGGGCTTACTCATCACCAGCCATGTACAACATGTATAAAGGCTAAGCCTAGGCTACAGTTTAGCTCTAAGCTGAATTAAAGATAGGCAAGAATGAAAACATACATACATACATACATTGATGCATCTGTAGAAATAAGTACATATAAAATTAAGCTCAGACAACATGTACGCTAACTACCTTCATCAGGTTCTATATCAGAAGTCTAAGGAGAACATTTTTAAGTCACTAGGCCGTCTACAACTGCACAGTTGTAAAATGAGAACAAAGCTGTCCACCAACTATATAATCATAAAGCATGAATCACAGTTACCTCTGATGGCTTTGGTGATGATGAATGATGCCCCATGCTTTCGGTTGCCTCTAGGCTACAATTTAAAAAAATTTAAAAAAAAATGTAAACTTACATTTGAGAATACTTACAATACTTACAACATATAAATTTATACTTCTTTACTTATATCAGGAGAATTGAGTACTACCGGTAATTTAAAACTTCTTCCAGACTGAAATAACCTCATCTGGACTGTGTGCAGTGTAGAGGGAGAACGACAGTTATAGGTACATGCCAGGAAGAACCCAAAAATGAGGTTAGAAACTGTTTTCAAATCAAAACACCGATAAAAAGATGAGGAAACCCAGGGGCAGGGCTGAGATGAATCAGAATGGGAGAACTTGCCTATGATGTGCAGGGCCAGACAAAGGCCAGAGTTTTACCAGACAAAGACTTTACCAGTTGACAAGTTAGTACAGTCTACTTGGGGGAAAAGTAGTTACCTATTGTGTATCCATGGAGACAATGTCATTAACAAAACACAGATATATAACTACTACGTTCAATAATTTGACTGCACAATCATACACTACATGCTATAGGATACAGAATAACAAATATTTCATATGGTAAGACGCATTAAACTACTACCAAGAATAAAATGAATAAAAGCATCAGTAAGTACAGACACATTGTTCCCGAAGAAGTTCACTCAGCAAACAGGAAGAGATCATCGGGAGACAATCTGGCACAGTGGAGGGATATAAAAGTGAATCAGATGCAGAGTCAAGGGGTCAATAGCTGTGGTGAACAGATGCAGACATCAATAACCAAGAGAGATGAGAGAGGGCAAAGTACAGTGAGGGTTCCATCTAAGTGACGCTGTGCTGGTTTTTAAATCAATGTGTAATACTAAGCATTCTGAGACATTATTACAGACATTTCAGAAGTGTTAGATACCGTTATCCAACTAAAAGGCAGCAAGCAACAGCCTCTTAATATCATGATCTACAAGAAGTCCACATCATTCAGGAGAAACAGGAACTAATAAAAAACAATATATGTAGATCTCTGCCCATACAAGATATAACTCAAGACAAGCGGAATAAACACTCAGGAGAGATGATAAAGGAGCTCAGTGGGCTGGATTCAGGAATCTTTAATAAAGGTCCTTCTTGATCATGCTGCTTCCCCAGAGCCTAATACACAGGCATGTCAGGACCTCCGTATGTCAAATAAATGGTCCTGAAGTCCTGTTTTTCACCCCCTGACTAGAAGGCTCTCCCTAGGTAACTAGTAACTCCAGGGTCCATAAGTTGGCAAACACCATAACTTCCTCTCCAGCAGAACTGGAGAACAGCCATAGATTCTTGCTCTTCACTCACTCCCTTGGCATTCTGCTTAGACGGTCACTTCAGGCATGGTAATGAGAAACAACCACTGGTAGGTTGTCTCTCCTCCACAGTGCGAGTTCCATGAAGACATTCATCTCTGGGACCCGGGTGTACACACAGACACACACACAGACACACACACACATGCCTATTACTGAGATGGGACCTGGTGTACACACACACACACACACACACACACACACACACACACACACACACACACGCCTCTTACTGAGATGTCGAGACGTCTAGGATGGGACCTGGTGTACACACACACACACACACACACACACACACACACACACACACACGCCTCTTACTGAGATGTCGAGACGTCTAGGATGGGACCTGGTGTACACACACACACACACACACACACACACACACACACACACACACACACACACGCCTCTTACTGAGATGTCGAGACGTCTAGGGTCCTCAGAAACTTCTCCCGCCACGGAGCACAAGAGAGTCAGTCAAGCCGGGAAAGGACTCCCTCCCTCTCAGGAAGGAGAGTGACACCGAGCTCCCGAGGGGGGTGACAGCCCACCCCGGACCCCGGGCTGACTCCGCAGACCCCCCCTCAGCAAGCCCCAGCCCTCCGCCGCCCCGCCGTTGCCAGGCGACAGCGCAGCTGCCATCCCCGCGCCGCCGTCCTGCGTGGCACCGCGACGTGGCTCCCCACGCCAGGCGCCCGCGCCAAGCCGACCGCCTCCAGGGAGGGCCCGGCTCACCTGCACTTCTGTCTCGGGTGGCCACTCGGTGTTGACCAGCAGGTCGTAGAGAATCGTCTCCTCCTCGTCTGCAGAGCCGGGACTCGAAGGCGGCACCGACTCGGAGGCCGCCATGTTGCCCGGGAACAGAGTGGCGGAGGGAGGGGCGCGCGCTATGGCGTCTCACGCGGGTCAAACTTCCCCGGACGCGGCCGCTGCTGATTGGAAGAGAGGGAAGTAAATGAATTGGCTCCTGAAAAAGAATGCCATGAGTAGGAAAAATAACCGTGTTCATGTCTAAGGTAGGTCTTGGACCCGGTCCTTTCTGTGCAAATCTGTGCCTAAAACGACTCAAGTCACTGAACCTTTTTTACCAGTCAATTTCTACCAAAGACTAGGTGCAAGTACCTCCCAAAATGCTCGTGATCATTTAGGTATCCATCCCCTAATACAGAAAGTGTTCAGAGAGAGGACTTTAAGTACACCAAGGGGTTATCCAGATCAACAGATAAAACTAATGGTTGAGTATCACAGGAATGGTGTTTGGGAGCGCCTAAAAAAAAAAAGAGGGCCAGAGGATCCGATGGAGACTTCCAGCAGCAGATAGAGCTTGTGAGCTAGGTAGCAGAGGATGCCCTACAAATCACCTTACAACATGGACTAGCCTCAGACTCAGTCCTCCCCAGGGCTCAGAGTACAGATATGCACTATCATGCCCAGCCGTGGACTTTCAACTATAGATAGAAACTGGATCCACTAGAGGTCGAGAGAGAATATTTAAATTAGAAGGGACGGCGGCGCTAAAGATACAGAGTTGTGATGACAGACAGAGTGAATAGAGAGAGGCCGAGTTGAGAAAGGGTGTAGAGGACAATAAAGACATGACAGCTTGAGGATTTCCTAGAGTGGGGGACTTAACTCATCGATCCATTCATTTATTCACGAACAAATGCCTCTCTGTGGAAGGCCCGTCACTGTAAACAGAGCCAATTGTGATCCGAATGATCACGTGTTGCATTAAAAAGAAGCATAATTTCCCAAGATGCCTTTCAGAAATTTTACTATACAATAACCATCTCTGGACGTTAGGCAGTGGTATAATTAAAAGGCACAACGAGAGCGTGACTAACGGGTCTCTCCAAGCTTAATTAGCCCAAAGCCACATACCTTTTGCTTTCACCTTGTAGTCTCACAGCTGAACTTTTCTTGCACACACACCCCCATTTAGCCAGATGCTTGCTGTGTCTGAAATACTAGACACCCAGGAACAGCAGGAACTTGGACAGGGATGTTCCTTACGCATGGAGGTTGGACCTGATATACTGTGACGCTCTCGTGCCCTGAAGCTTTTGTTTTCATACCACCTTCCTTCCGAACTCTACCCTGCCTGCCTATGTCTACGTTAGCAAGCACCTCCCCACCGCTCCAGCTTCCCAGCCTGCCCCAGGCCTGCTCAGTTGTTTGGTGATTTGTTTGGGTTTTGTTTTTTCATAACACATGTCAGCATTGGATATGCTATGTCATGTATCATTTATTGTATTTGTGCACTGTCTGTCCTCATCCTCCAAAATGTAAGCTCTAACGGGGCAGAGTGCACTATCATCTTGTACAATAGCTCCCATACCCAGCTGCACTATGTCCCCAGCATTTATAACAGTGCCAGCCACAGAGGACGGGGCAAAATTTATATCGCTGTTGAATAAAAAAAAAAGGATTTTTAAAAAACAACTTTTTTAAAACCTTCTCCTGCTGTGTTGCTCCAGCAAGCTTAGAACCCCTAGGAGCGAGCACACCCCTTACGTCTATCTTCTGTGTGGTTCTCACTACACAAGGATTTTCAAATGATGTCTTTTTACACACTCAGAGTATTTCTTTGACAGCATCTATGTGTTTTCCTCAAGCCCCCAGCTGCAAACCCAGCATTCTATCTACTCTACGTATCACAACAAGTTACAGACTGCAAAGCAATATTCTCACCCAGCATAGCGGAGAATACAACGAGATATGGGTACTGGGTCGGGGAGGTGGTAGAGTTCCCACTGGAGTTATACAGTACCTCAGAGGCGCACCCGCCTTCAACTCTATACCAACTTTCCTGGTCCAACCTCTTCCCTGTCTTTCCTTTGACACATACGGGGATTACGTTCTGCTTCTTCCTTTTCTTGGTCACTTCGACCTGACCACACAGCTCCAATGAACAAAGGATGTGTTCTTGATTTGGAGAGATGAACCTCCTTTCACAGATGGAAACTTTAAACTTATGAAAGTGTATGATCACAACAGAGCAAAACTGAACCAGTGTTTGAGTCAGGCATAGAGGCTCACACTTGTAATGCTAGCACTTGGGAGACTGAGACAGGAGGACCTTTCTGAGTTCAAAACCAGCCTGAGCTACTTGGTGAGCCTTTAAACAAACAAACATGTTTCTTGAGATCCATGTGTTCTTTTCTTCATAGGGCAGCACATGGCAGAGATTTGTATTGCAAAGGATAATTGAATGTTATAACTGAAGCATTCCAACAGTTGAAGAAGTAAATGAACAGTTTGGAATGACCAGGAGTGCTGTGCCAACATGTAGACTTATATTGCTATCAGCCTGCTCTATTGGAGGAAAATAAAATGTGGTATGTAAGAGTTTGGTTGCTCAGTGCTACTGTGGCCATCTGATCAACATCATCATGCAGTTGAAATTCTATCTTCTATGGTCTGAATATGTCTTCTTTCCAAATTCATATGTCAAACATTCTGAACAGGAGAGCGATGAAGTAAGGTTCAGGAAAGATGACTAAGGTGGCCAGGGAGATGCTCAATGGGAGCGAATCCTTGCTGCACAAGCTCAGGGACATGTTCCAGCACAAACAAAACACAAAGCTAGGAAAGGCTGCACAGAAGGCAGAGACAGGAGGATCGCTGGGACTTACTGGCTAGTAGCTTAGGTCCGGTTTCCCTGAGAGATCATGTCTCAAGAGAGCAGACAGAAGGTGATAGAGCAGGACTTCCAGCATGCCCCTCTGCCTCCATGTACACATGTGCACACACATGCGCACACACACACACACACACACACACACACACACACACACACACACATATACATTACACACACACACAACAATTGAGGAATCTTCTACCATGTAAGGACAGAGGATGAAAAAAGTGCTATATATGAGGAACAGAATTCTCAGCCAATGCCAATTTCGTGTGTGTGTGTGTGTGTGCGCGCGCGCACACACACACTTTGATCTTAAACTTCTCAGCCTTAAAAACTGTGAGCAATTAATTTCTTTTGTCTAGAAAATAGTCCATTTTAGATATTTTATTGCAGCAACCCAAAGGACTAAGGATATACTTATAATTCAGAGACACTCTAAGTCATAAATAAATCATTATTAAAAGAAAGATTATTGCAGATACTAAACATGAGTTCTAACTCTGTGAAGAAGTTAAGGAAATAAAACAAATAAAAACTGAGACAGTTACACAATAGGAGTCACCTTCACAGTTGAGTACGCCTGCTCCTGCTCCCCTCCATGTTGAAAGATACATAGGAAAGGGAAGCTCCGCATCACTGTGATCCAGCCGAGTGCATACAGTGGTGATGGTTCACATCCCTAAGAGAAGGCATTATGGCGTATTCATTTGAAGAGCAGTGATCTGATGCTTATATAAGCTTTTGATGAAGTAGAGCAGAAAGGAACTAGGAATAGGAATATTTCCCCACATTCTTCTACCCTAATCGCCCATCAAATACATCTCAAATCAACTACAATGTGATCAGAATTCACTTTGCTGATGGCCATACACATTTGTACCTTGCAGTCAGACAAAAATTGCTTAACAATGTCTCAGAAAAATGAATAATTTTTGTCTCTTAATTCTTCCATGTAGAGAGCTATCATTAAGTGATAGGTTCATTTCGCATGAGCTCAGCTTTTTAGTCCCTATCGACTAAAAGGCCCATTAAGCTGAAAAGCCATTAATGATTCAGCATTTAGCCCTTTTATGTTTCTACATATCAGAGATCAAAGAAATTGGTTTGTCACATGGAGTCCCTTCCATGTTAAATTTGAAATTGTGTAACAAAATTGAATGAAGGCATTGAAATCCTACCCATTATAGGTGCCATGCATTCCTACCTGATTGGATGGTGTACAAGTTTTTCACGGAGAGTATAGATTTCAATCATAATAATAAAAGCGTATTGAGAGTCATTCAAGAAATTCCTTTTTCTCCGGCAGTCTAAAGATCCAAGTCAATCCGTCCGTAAATATCGTAAGACTGCTGTAATGTCTCTTGGCAGGCAAAATAATAGGAGAAAGTTCAGGCATGATTTGAGCCAAGAAGAAGTCCCCAGCCCCCCATTTGAAGTTTGTCCACTCTCATCCACTGTACTTCCAATCAGGTCGTTTCTTCCTCAATTTTTGTCACCCTGAAGTTACATGGAATTGTCACAGAGCCTCCCAGAGCCACATGCAGTGGCACGCGTGACAATCAGCATGTGCTGTTCAATGCCACCTCCAAACTGACTGGCTGCTTTTATAGGCTCTCGATAGCTGGAGAGTTACGTTGTTCCCTCATCCCCACAGTCTCTCCTGGGATGGACAGACTGACCCTTGGGAAGACAGATTGAAGCTTGGCAATCCGTTCACAGACCTAGAAACCAAGGCAGACAGATTTCCAAGATCACAACAGAGCAGAATCCACACATGGGTCTCCAGGTTTGAGTCCTGGGCTTTTTTTTTTTTTCCCCATAGGATGGCACATCACAGAGAATGCATGGCAAAAATTCCCAAAGCTGCACTCACATGGTGAAGAGGTCCATCCTAATGGACCATTATGGATGACCAGATGTACATGCAAAAAAAACAGATAAGTAAATAGTGCAAATAAAATGTATGTGTAGACAGTTAGCAGTTGTTGACTTATAAATGAGAGTCGCTTTTCAAAATTCTGTTTTAGAACAAAGGTAAATGATCCATAACATACAAATATATATGTTATATATATGTATCAAAATATAAAATGAGTTAGTGGATACAACAAGGGACAAACAAATGGAAGGCTAAACACACACACACACACACACACACACACATATATATATATATATATATATATATATATATATATATAGATGTAGATGTAACCAACGGTCTTATTAAATAAGAAACACAGAGCCGATTCAGAGAAGAAAGCCAAGAGGTCAGAGCTAAGAGCCTCACCCTTCCTGCTTCAGCGATCCTCTTCAGCCAAGAGAGCTCTCCGAAAGGGGCCTACTTCCTGTGTGTATGTCTTTATATAGTCTAGCTGTTCTGCCTTCTCATTGGTTGTAAACCCAAACACGTGACTGCCTCGTCACTGCCTGTATGTACCGCCCTCTAGGTCCTTAAAGGCGTGCGCCACCACCGCCACGCACTTGCTATGGCTCTAATAGCTCTGACCCCCAGGCAACTTTATTAACATACAATTAAAATCACATTTCAGTACAAGTAAAATACCACCACATATATATATATATATATATGAAATATTAATGATAGAATCTCGAGTGTGAGTATGAGTGTCCATCATACAATTCTTTCAGCTTTGTTACGTATGAAAATGCTGGAAAGGGGTAAATCTATGACATCAGGGATAAGGAAGATGGGTCTGCTGGGTGGCTAGTGTAACAGTCTCTCTGGGCTTGAGGGGATGCTTCAGGAGCCACACTTCATAACTGATGAGAAAGCAAACAGTTCATCATATATTTGCTACAGAAGAAAAAAATGTAACATGCATCCCCCAAAACATAGGGTGGAATATGGGAAATGAAGAAAACGGATCGATTTGAGCTGGGTGTGACAGGTACCTTAAGATAAAGAGGGATGAAGTAAAACTTCTCGGAATTTTGATGGAAATCATTAAATCATCTTGAAGCTTACAAGCTCAAAAACAAACAAACCTATCAAAAATCAAAATAAACAAACAGAAAACGTCACACACACACACACACACATACACACACAAACTCCCACCCACCCCACAACAAAACCAAAAGCCCACAAACAATACACCGAGTTCATTTTCATTCTCTCTCTCTCTCTCTCTATATATATATATATATATATGTGTGTGTGTGTGTGTGTGTGTGTGTGTGTGTGTCTATCTTTCTCTGTCTTTCCCTATCTCTCTCTGTCTGTCTCTGTCTCTATCTAGCTATCTACCTCTCTGTCTCTCTGTCTCTGCCTCTTTCTGTCTCTCTATCTATCTCTCTGTCTCTGTCTCTCTGTGTCTCTCTGTCTCTCTCTCTCTCATAAGCAGGGCTTCTGCAGCACCGAGACTCAAGTCCCGGGGCCTCGTGCTCGTCTCGTTCATTCATTTTTAAAGTTCCAGTTTTGTTTCTGTATTTTTGCTTCTACTCTGGGTATTTAGGGAAGTCTTTTAAAATATGTTGTCTGTCAGCTTGCCTGAAAAGCAGCTCACTAAACCTAGCAAAGGAAAACAGCCGGCGTCTCCTTAGCTTTACCACAGAGAGCCAGGCAGCTCACAGATGCGCAGACCAAACAAATCCACAGGGGTTTCCAAAGGAGATGATTGACAGAGCCCAAAAGGAATGCACTTTTCGCCAATATGCACCAGCCACCTCTGGAGTTCCCCAGAAGTGTTTGGTAGAGGTTTTTACTAGTGACAGACAGTCTTCATGTCTTCAACAGGGAACAGGATCAATGAAATCACAATGCTTTCCATCAAAGTGGCTGCCAGTTGTGTCCACAGATGTGGGAATACCTAAGGAGACTCGACTAACACCAGCTACTCAGAAATTCAAGGAGAAATTATAAAAACAAGATATATTTATTTGTGGGCAGTGACAATTTTTTTAAAGCAAGTCTCACTGTGTAGCCCTACCTGGCCTGGAACTCACTATATAGACCAGGCTGGCCTGGAACTCATCAGGAAACTGCCTGCCTCTGCCTCCCAAGTGCTGGGATTAAAGGAGTATGCCACATCCAGCCAAGAGTGGCTTTTTAATATCTGTGCCCTCAAGTTGAGAGTATGCCTTGAATAAATTTGTACGGCCAATATGATTTATTCACGGCTATCTTGAATCCAGTAAATGGGAAGTTATCACAACCATATGGCCACCTCTAGATGCTTATTCTTCTGAACCAATAGGTAAAGAAAGGAGTTACTGTGCTGGCTGGGGTAATTTTTCCTAATTATCAAGAAGGAATTGGACTACTCTTCTGAAATGGAGAGCTCTTGGAATAAAGATCACTCCCTTGAAATTGAACTGACCTTAATAATCACCTTAATTAATAGATTTGGGAGAATTGGTGCTGCGTGACTTCTAAAGTTCAGTTTAAAAAGCCACATTGCTGTGGGATGTCTTTCTGTATGCTGTGAATATGTGTTGCTCTGATTGGTTGATAAATAACTCTGCATTGGCCTATGGCAGGGCAGGATAAGGTTAGGTGGTACATTCAAACTGAAGACAAGACGAAGAAGGGTAGAAGTGAGGGGAGACACCAGCCGTCTGCCCAAGGAGCAACAAGATGCCCACAGACCGGTAATGCCACGGCCATGTGGCAACATATAGATTAATAGAAATGGGTTAAGTTGTTATAAGAGCTAGCTAGCAAGAAGCCTGAACCATAGGCCATATAATTTACAATTAATATTAAGCCTCTGAGTGATTATTTTATAAGTGCCTGCAGGACCCCAGGGTCAGGCAGGACCGGAACAAACACGGGACCAAGGGGCCAGGTAGGACCAGAGAAATTTATGGCTACACCACATAGTGGATATACTTGAAACGCCTACTTTTGAAACACAAACACTATGGGGCCTGGGCCACATGCAGTGCTACAGCTAACCCCAGCCCCAGCCAGGAGCTCATGAACGTGAACATCAGCCAAGTGATGCAAATGGCTGAGTCTTGTCGTGAGTCTAGCCTACCCTTGGAGTCTTCCAGTAGAGCTGCTAGGCATTATAGGATAGAGGTGATCCATCCACACTGTACCCTGACTGGCTTCTTCACCTACAAGATCCCTGAACAAAATAACTGAATGCATTAAGCCGTATTAGGTAATTTACTATGCAGCCATAGTAACTGGAACGTTGTCACTCAGAGCTGCACTCGAATCAGCCTTTGCAAATCCCTGTTCCCATTACTGTAGCACAGGAGGGATAGGGTAATGTGAATTTCTGTATTTGGAATCATTCCTGCTAGATATTTTGAAGTGTCGGTGACCATCCTATTTGTTATGCAAATTGTTTTTTATCTTAACCTGCTAAGTCATCACAAGCTGAGGTAACACACAGCCTATGCAATCAGTGTCACAGATACATAGGAGGTGCAGGGGATGAGGACTTTGGGGAGGAGAAAACAAGCCACAGTTTCCCTATGCTGGAATAAAATGGCTCTCTACAGCAAGTGATGGGCAAGGGAGATGTGCGCGGATCCTGGGATGCTGGGATTTAGAATGTCTGTCAGGTGCACACTCTGTTCTTAAGTACTTGAAGCCTCCAGGCCGTGTTCTCCTGCTCAGACTGCAAATGCAGCACCATTTCCCCAGGAGCCATCAGCATCACTCACAGGGCCTGATGAGCCTGCAAGATGGCGGGCTGAGGAGACAGGCTTTGTGCATGGAGGAGGGAGAGCACAGTTCTGCCTGCCTGCCAGTCAGCATCGAGCCATAAATAATGGCGCTGCCAGGCTTACTTATAATGAGACCAACAGTTAGTGAGATCTCTTTTTCTGCTTTACAGTCCCTCTGCAGCTCTTCCCGGCTGCCCTTTGTCTCCCTCCCTCCATATATCTGGAGTGAAGGACTTTATGGCCACTTCTTCAGGGGATACAGAGTTATAGATCTCTGGATTTATGTGTGTTTGCCAGCCCCTCTCTGGTCCCTGTACCATAAGGTGAATGCCAGGGCAGGGAGAATGATGTTGCCTTCTAATAGATCTGGGCCAGTTTCTGACAGCTTATTTTGACGAAAGCATAAAATTCAATGATGGTTGCTCAGCCCAGAAGCTGGAGAAAATACAGTGATAAAAAGAAAAAAAGAAAGACAAGGTTTACATTCGACCCTCCCCTTATCTAAATTGCTCTGAGACAGGTAAGTTGTGAAAACCGAGGAAAGGTAAGCCAACAAGTTTAATGACAATAGATGGTTTAGAAACAGCAGGATTTATTCCGGAGGATGTTGAACATCAGTGTCTCTCCAGAATGGAAGCATCACTGCTTGTCAGTGAGCACAACACGGAGTCCATTAGGAAAGTGGGGGTGTGAGAAAGCCCACAGGAGATGGATCTTTTATTTGACAATTATGCCAACTGTTTGTATAGTCCCCTTCCACACTGAACAAGTCTGTGGGCCACCTAAGAGACTGCTGAAGCGACCACACGTGACTGTGATGGCTTTGCCACCAAAGATACCACTCTGTTCTCTGGGGTGGGTGGCTTGCTTTGATGGAGAAGGCAGGGAGAAGTGCCAATAGACACAGCATGACATCACAGGAGCCCAGTTACAGGTGGAGAATAGAGAGGCCTTCGGAAAACATAACAACACAGTCACGTGACGGAATGGCCCTTTAGAGCTGATCTCCAGCTACAGGCAGACCATTAGAGAGATGGTTACAATCCCCACCAGTGACAGTCACTAAGAGAAGGATCAAAGCAGAACTGCCCAACCAAGCTGCTCCTGAACTCCTGGTGCACGGAGACTGAGCAATGATAAACACATATTGCGTTAAGTGACTGAATGTGGAGGCGACTTGGTTTATTTTTCAAAGCAATAAATAACTTAGTGGAGGTCCATAAAATAAAAATCACTTGGTTTTGTGGGACAGAGACCCCGACATGAAGAGAAGCACTTATTCTCTCACATGAGAAATATGCAGTCGTTATTTGGGGCTGGCCTGGTATTCCA